TGTAAAATTATTAAAAATAATATAAATATAATCCAGAGGAAGAGAACTGGACATCACGAGAGACCACGGGTCTGTATTAACGGAAATATTAAACATTTTATTCAATCCAATATTAAAATAAAAACGAAAATAAAAAAATTCAGCTGTAAAATTATTAAAAATAATATAAATATAATCCAGAGGGGGAGAACTGGACATCACGAGAGACCACGGGTCTGTATTAACAGAAATATTAAATTTTTTATTCAATCCAGTATTAAAATAAAAATGAAAATAAAAAAATTCAACTCTAAAATTATTAAAAATAATATAAATATAATCCACAAAGGGAGAACTGGACAGGACGAGAGACCACGGGTCTGTATTAACGGAAATATTGAACTTTTTATTCAAACCAATATTAAAATAAAAACGAAAATAAAAATAAAGAAAAAGAAGCGGTGAGTTTATTAGAGAACCTCCTACTGGAAGCCTCTAAGGAAACTGAATAGGGATGTGGAAATGCTTGTCTTTTATAGAAAGCGGAACAGAACAGAAGTCATGGCCTACTGGATTAATTAGGTTTTAATACCAAATTAGTATTTTGTCGATAAATGCCAATGATAGGATAAACACAGCTACACTTAAATGTACAAAGGACGGTTATTATTTTTTTTTAAATTCAGTTTTAAAGCTATTCACTTGACACTCCTCTTTCCTTTGTCGAAACGGCCGGGATCTGCCAAATATATACTATTGCTGCCAAATAACTAATTTATCGGAAATACCAAAGCTTCGTTATTTTTACAAGGATCCTATAGAAGAAAACCAAAACAAAAATCTACAAAAATATTTTGTCTTAGGATTTTGATGCAGAATTTTGGAGAATCGGTCCGGAAATCGTTGAAGGACTTCCGCTTGAGAAACGGATGAGAACTGGGGAAGGTATAGCCATCACTGTGGACCCTATAGGGGAAAACCCCACTTTCAAGGTAAGGGGAGAAATAAGATAGTCCTAAAATGAAGAATATGGAGCCCGGGAAAGTTCCCATCGCATTTTATTTTAACAAGAATCGTTATGTATATTCAGTAAAATATATGATTTTGTATCAACAATAATAAAAGCAAGGCTATAAGTTTATTATTGTCGCTTAATTATAAGAAAACAGGTGTAAAAATAAAACAGTTCAGATCTTTAATGTGTTCCCTTAGTATTCCTCAGAGTAGACGGGATTGTGGTAGATGCGGACATTCTTTCCCCTAATCATGGGATTCTGCTCAACCGTCACATTCCACAGCTTGACGTCGCCTTGGATGTAGACGGTGTTGACCCGCTCCGGGCTGACTTTGTACTTGAACTCCGTGAGGTACTGGCGATTGACGTACACCTCGAAGGAGTCCTTCGTGCAGACGATCGCCAGGCTGAATGTGCGTCCCGGACGGAAATTTGTGTCGAGCTCGGAGCGCTCCTCCACGCCCCACTGGCCGTTAACCCAGGCATTACGGCACACCACCGCCTTGCCGATGGCACCGCCACCAGACCTTGAGAAGCGCGGATTCAAGTGGAATGCAATGACCGGATGCGGCCAGATGTCCTGGCCCTCCTGCAGGTTGATGTAGAACGAGTGGGGAAGCAGGCGCACACGTCCCTCGATCTTCAGACACCGTCCCTCGCACAGAGAGTTCGGGGGCAGAGCTCCGTAGTAGGGCAGGGTCAGCCCGAGGTCACTGGCACTGTGGCTGCTCTTCGGAGAGGCTTCATCTGTGGTGTGTTTGGAGGGTGCTCCGATGAGGCACCACTCCTGCGGTATGTTGACAGCCTCCTCGACGCTGGCGTCTATTTCGTCGACTCCTTCCTCCAGACGGAGCTCAATGTTCTTTGCCTCGGAGGCGGGCGTGCGCTGCGGGTAGCTGAGCACCAGCGACTGCTGCATTTCCACGTTGTCCACGTCGCCCTTGACCTCCAGGACTCGGACATCCTGGTAGGGAATGCGGTGTGCGTACTCGGTGAAGTGCTGGCCGTTCACGGAAATCATGTAGCAGGCTTCTGTGACGAGCACCTGGATGGAGAAGCGGTCGCCGCGGTGCAGGACGAACGGCAGGGCCGAAGCAACCTCCTCCCGGCCCCATACATCCTGGACCTTTGTGTTCCGGACAATGTAGTTCTGGGGCAGACGTGGATTTATGTGCAGGGCCACATCCTTCTTTTCGTTGCTGAGAGCCAAGTTGATGGAGAATCTGCAAAGCAAGTGGGCTTAGCATCCGATAGGACCCTCTATCCAATCACTTACCTCTCGCAGGTCAGGGCCAGCCTGCCGGTGACGGTGAAACTGACCCCTTCGCGCAACTGGCCCAGTTGATTGTTGTGGTACTTTGGCAGAATATCGGTATACTCGTAGAACGTGGCCTGCAATTCGAAATTGATAAGGAAGTGGAATTATGGAATATGAAAACTTTACAATCCAAGCCTGACGATTCTCCCACTCACTGCTCGAGTCGAAAAGAGATAACATTTTTCCCAAGCCCAATCAGCGCGGTTCTGAATGTAATAGTAGCTGGAAAGGCCACTATCGACCTCAAAAACGCTGTTCGGATCGAATATTTTTGTTTCGAAAAGCCAACTAGACTTTAATTCGGGGGATTCAGTCACCGCACGTACGGGTGTGCCATTTAAGTAGACTTGAAGCGCCTTCAAATGATTGAAATTCCCAATTGATTGCTAACTCGTTAGCTGGCATGCTTCCTACCCTGTATCCTTCTCTTCTGCCGTGGAGTGCTTACCTCATTCAAGCCGCCCTTTTTCGCCTGGTGGCAGCAGCAGAACAACTTCCTGCAGAACGCCCTGAGACACATGGTTGGTCCTTAGAGTGGGGGTTGGGGTGAGGAACAGTGGACTGTGCGAGTTCAAATGGAGGGCATTGCGAGATGCACATCCACGCAGCGAGTAATCTATCTTATTGTGACGGAAGAAGATGATTCAACATTGTCCTTGTTCACTGCAGTCTCATAGCTCACAACACCAGGAAGGTTACCAGTCACCCCCAAAACTACGCGAGTTTACGAGGCACAACTGTGTGTTTTTATGGTCTGGCGGATGGCTGCTGGCCGGGGGCTGTTTCCACAGGCCAATATTAAAATAAAAATATTATTTCACGACTCTAGTCTGGACAGCTGGCAACCACTGACCGTTGTTATTATTTGTTCGATTGCCTCGCGATTCGCGAATGACTCGGCCGGAGAGAACGGAATACTGAAAAGCTCCCGACTCACTGGGGCGGTTTTGGGGCTGTGCCCTCTGGGGGCGTAGGTGACATGAACTCACTTTCAGTGAGTAAGCCTCGGAAGCGGCTTGCAAAGGCCAGCTTATCGCCAGACACCTACGGCAAACACTTGTTTTCGGGCATAATCGCTGCTTTTGCAGGGGGGGCTTCCGATTGGGACGCGACTGTAGACAACAGCTGGGGAGAGCTTTTCCCCCCTGCGGGGTCCAACGATGCGAACCAGTGGAAACTCGACGAGAGAGCGATAAACGACAAGGTAAATGCGCAGTATGAGAGAACTGGGCCTAATCTCGCCTCTAATTGGAAAAACACACGGCTGGATCTGGGGACAGGGTCTACCTTTCGATTACGGCGATTACGTACATCAAACTGCTTCCCGTCGATGACTTCGATGTCCTCAAAGGCGCCCGCCAGCGGCTCCGCTTCCTGGCGCTCCGCCTCGAGGAACCTCTGGTGCACCGCCCTCGCCTGGCCGCCATAGAAGCTGCTCTCCGCATCGGCCTCATCGCCGAAATCTATCAGGTCCGCCCCGCGGATCATGGCCTGACGCAACCAGAGCTCCCGGCAATGAAACTGGAACAGCTGCAGGCGTCGTTTGTTGCGGTAGTAGGCGAGGCTCCGGGCTATGTCAAACGCGTTGTGCCACAGTGCATCCGACAGATCCAGGAGTTCGCGGACTGAATGGCACGCCAGCACAATTATCGCCGTCATATGTACTAACGCGAATCGAACGGGTTCTCGACACGATGCAGATGCGGACGACCGGCGCTCTCCTCTCCGACGATGCCACAGAGGCTTTCTCTCGACACTCTCACTCCTCTCTCGACGTGTAGCTGATGAACGAGATGTTCCGTATCGCACTTGGGGTGCTCCCGGTTCGAGTTTTGCTTTTCTGCGCGGTGGAGGAGGTCACCTATCACCTATCGCCCATCACCACTAGCCAGAAGACTAAAACCCAATATCGACATGGAATTTGTCAAGCTCTTTCGGCTCTGATAACGTTCTATGTTTACGCACACGGGTGCCCATTCGATATATCATCATGTACATGTGTATATCTGCCTCACATGGACACGAGCTGCGTGGGAGCATTGTTTTTGACCAATCCAATCAAACTGTTGGGAATTTATAAACAATTTCTAGGAAAACCATACCCTCCAGTGGTACTATTCTGATCCCCGCAGGTGTAACTACTCTATCTTCGGGCCTCGACAGCTCACCTTCATATCTGGCAGAAGTCTATATAATAAACAATGATAACCCAGGGCAGTGCTCGGATTTCCGATTGAGGGGACCTTGGATACTTACCCTCTCATCTCCAAACCGCTCGTAGTCTTCATGATCTCTGCGCTTTCTTTTTGGACAACAGCAACTCATCCTGGTGTTCAATAGCTCATCCGCTTTCTAGATAACACGGTAGCACTTTTCAGATAACTATGCAGATATGGGGTTACGCGAGCTACACTCCGGGGACTAAATATGATAACAAATATGGATATTAGAGAACGCTTTTAACATAAAGATCGGACGCTGGGAGGGGTCAGGTCTATTAATAAGTAGCCTTGCCCGGTTCGAACAACCACCGTCTGTCGCGAAACTTTTTCAACTGATGGTTGTTGGCACATTTTCGTGAACTGACTCAGACCCCGCCGTTCGGCGATATTATCGTGAATATGTTTATTGTATGACAGAAGACTTCTAATTGCCGTCGCCTTAGGCGCCCCAAAGATAAAGCAAAGCTTCTTTGTAATTGTTCCAACATTTTAAACTAGTGGTGTATTTCCTCCATATACAGGACAAGAAAATGTATGTTCAGTTTACAGACTTACGAGATACTCTTCTATCCTAAGATGGTGTGTAATATTCAAGGCATAAAACTAAATAATAAACTTCAAGTGAACATAAGAGTTAATAATGAAGAACTTCAGAAAAGGAAAACTAAATTGCGATTCCTCCGCATTTAAGGTATACATAGCTCCAAGGCTTCTCTTATAATAAACATGATTTTCTGTACATGTACATGATCCTCCGGGTCTAGGACTGCCTGACTTCTCCAACAGTTGAACTATTTTCCGTCAGCACAGCACCGACTTCAGTCCTTAAACGCGTAGATACTTAAGGCTTAGATTCGCGTGTACATTGTACACAGACTGCTCGAAATCCTTATGCTACAAATGGCTAATTGTCCAAAAATAGTTTCACATATTTCATATGGGAAATAAATCCTCAGGGCAGGTGGCTCTCAGCGCTGGCGTGTCGAGCGCGTTCCCATGGAGTGCTGCGACTTGAGGGACGGTCCCTTGTAATACTTGGACTGGGTCTTGCTCGCTCGGGTGGGCCGGTTGCTGTTGCTGCTGCTGCTCCGCTCCTCAGGACCCTTCTCGCCGTCCGCCTTCAGCGGCAGCTCGTCGTCATCGTCCCAGCGCTCGCTCTTCTTCTCCTCGTCCCCAGAATCCTCCCCAGCTCCATCCGTCTTCGATTTGCGGTTCCGGCGGTTCCGCGAGGAGGATGAGCTCACATCGGTCCGCTCTGATTTCTCACTGGAATGTACGGAAAAGGTTATAGAAGTGAAACATACTCCATTGGGGGTTTGTACTTACTCTTTAGGGACGGGCTTGGGATTCTCTGCCGCTTTCCGCTTCAGCAGCGCCAGTTCCCGCTCTGCAATCGCCTTCTTCCGCTCGTCCGCCGACTCTGCGGCACTTGGCTTGGTAGTGGAATCGGCCAGTTGCTTCACCGGCTCCTCGTGCTTGGTGCGCTTCATCTGCTGCTGCTGCTCCTGAGCCTGCTTCAGGGAGCGCTTCAGGGCACTGCGCAGGCTGTCGCGTGAGCTCTCCGGCGCCACATCCTTACCCAGCTGCGGCAGGCCAATCGCCTCAAGAAGCTTCTGGCCGAGCACAGCCTTCACCTCCGACTTGCGACTGCCAGGCCCGCCCTTGCTATTGCCTTCGGTTTCCGCGTTATCCGAGGCCACCTCCGACGCAGCCTCGAGCTGTTCCTCTGCGGCATCAATATCATTATTGGTGGCTTCCGGAACGGTGCTTGACGGGGCCTGGGACGGTTCAACGGCTTGCTCCTCCTCGCTATGCACCTCCACCTCGGGGGCGTTCTTTTCCGGTTCCTGGGCGTCCGTGGGGTCCACTTGCTTTGACGTGTTCTTAGCCATCTTAGGCGCCTCTCCATTATTGGGTGTTGGGGTGTCCGACGGTTTCAAAGACTGAATCACAGTTTTGCGCCTCTTCACGATGGGCCTGGTTACTGGGGTTGGTTGGGTGGAAGCTGGAGGTGCAGCTCGACGACTTAAGGCCGTGGCCTCCGGACGCACGACAGTCGATGGAGTTGGCTCCAGATCCAAGGGTGGCTGTGGTTCCACCAACACAATGTCCTCCAGGTTCACCACGGTGTTGGAAGCACTGCGACGGCGACGCGAGCTGCGCTGCTCCTTGGCTTCCTGCTGCTGCTTCAGCATTGCGAGAAGCGCCTCGTTGAGGGCGTCGGCTGGGTTTGATTCGAATTGCGAGAGGAGCGTGGAGTTCAGGTTCAACAGTTCGTTGGTGACGTGCGCCGCATTCGAGGTTCGCGGCACAGAGGGACCTCTGGTGGGAGTCTCCCGGACACGCCCCTTGCGCTGAGGACGCTTGGCCGACTGGACGAGTTTTGTGAGATGCAAGGGAGGTGGTTCCTGCTCCGTGGGACTCGATGGCACGAGCTGAACCGAAGTCTCTGGCGGAAGCTTGTAGGGCATCGCTCTCGACAGGTCGGTCATGTTGAGTACATCCATCGGGCCATGCCCAGAGCTGCTCGAGCCAGAGAAAGAGGACGCTACGAGTGGCGGCGGCGACTGCTTTTCCTGCTGCTGGGTAACCGCTAGCATGGGAGCCAAGTAGGGCCCCAGCAGCTGCGTGAGATCTGTGTCCTGCAAGAGGTTGTTGTCCGACATGATGACCGCGAACTTTGAGTTCTTCAAACGATTCATCTGATTCTCGCAGTTCCCGGCCGAAACCGGCCACTTCAGAGCCTTCAGGATGAGCTTCAACAGGTCGGGGTCCCGGATGACGCTGCCCAGCGAAATGGCCTCTGTGAGACTCTTAACATGGCTCGACGCGTTCGAGGGACCTGCAGCTTGGTGAGCAGCCGACGTCGGCTTGCTTGGAATTGGCATGATTTTCGCTAGTTTCGGGGGCCCGCTCTGCAGAATCACATCGTCATCGTCCCTCTTCTTCTTGGGCGCGGCAAATATCATGTGCTCCGGCAGCACCTCCTCCACCGAAGGCTCACATCCGAACAGGGCCTGCTTGGGCACCAGAGTGGTGGTCACATAGGGTCTTGTTTCCTCCGCTGGCCCTCGAACCTGCGCCGACTTCAGCAGCGAGACCTGTCCGCTCTGGATGGCTTTGATGTTGTTCACGGTGTACTTAAGATTCCTACGCTTCTGCTGGAGGACGTTGCTGGGTAGCTTGTTGCCAGGCAGTCCAGGGTTGCTCACCTTCGCCAGGGCGGGAACAGGAGGTGGCTGCTGGGTTGGGGCCTCCTGGCTGGTCCCGGCCACATTGCCCGTGATGCGTCCGTGAGTCTGAATAAAGTTGATCACGCCTGCGGGCGTGGGCCTCTTCTCCGGACTTATTTTAGGCGCACTGGTGATGGATATTTCGGAGTGGAGCGGCACCAGTGAGGGCGGATTCTTCATGGATCGCTGTGCGATCGACATCGGGGTAGATTTGTATCGAACGTCAGAAAAGACGCTGTTGCGTCGTGCTGGCACCTCCTTGTCCTGCGGAGGTCCGCTATTGTCAATGTTTAACGACAAAATGTCCCGAGAGACCTCTCTGCTTTTGTCGGCAAGCTCGTTCCGTGGCGGATTTGGCGCCGCAGTCTTGGCCACCGTGATGGTGGTTTTATCCGGGATCCGGGTCAGTACAATCGGCCGAAATTCATCGGATGCCGGTGGCTTATCTTCCGTGCGTGCAATTGGCAGGGGAATCTGGGTGGGAGGTGGCGGAGCAGTGAGATGAGCGGCGGCTGCTTCGCGGGCATTCTTGGGCTTCAAAAGTGAGTATCATTAATGATGAGCGGACAAGGGAGTTGGAAGATCTTACCAGCGTGCTGAGCAGAAAGTCGCGGAATACAACCTGTGTGTGCTTGGCGATGTTTGAGAGGGAGGCAGTGGCTTCTACCTGCCGGTAGCAGGCTTTGCAGAGCACCTTCGGCAGGGGGTCGTCCTCGGCCACCTGAAAAACATTGAAGTTAGAGCCGGAAGATATAATCCCAGTTTCTGGGCAGGCGCGCCCTACGAATTTTTAACGAGCAACCAGCCACTGACCGCCAGGGCTGGAACGTCGCCTTTGGTATTTTTTTTGCATACCAAAATACCGCAGTTCTTCCCACTTACGTTCAGGTAGAGGTGCCGCGAAATCTTGTCCCTCAGGCCCTGGGTCTTGAAGATGAAGACGCTCTCCACCACGGAGTTGGTCTTGCTCTTGGTGTTGGCCGCGCATATGCGGCACAGGTGCTCGAACTCGTTCTCCATGTCGCGGTTCCAGCAGCACAGGTAGGTCCTTATGCTATCCTTATCGCCGGGCTCAGATCTGCGAGCTCAGCATCCTGCTCGACGCAGGCAGTGGGAGTGTGTTTCACGAGGGGGTCGGAAGGCGGCCTGGATCACCTTCAGTCCACAGATTCGGACTACTTTTTGCCCACACTGATTCGTAAATGATCGCGCGCCGCGCACAATGAAACGGGAGAGCGTGCGAAACAAATAATAACAAACTGAAGGAGAGAGAGAGCGCGATCCCCAATCTCACATTTGCTTTCTTCTTTGACGCTGTCCGCACTCGTTATGCTACGTTTTTGGAGGAAACCGAGAAATCGTGTTTTCCACCTGGAATTCCTGGCCGGGGGGCTGGGGACACCGACTCCGCCGTATGTGAGGCTCCGGTAGTGGCTTTTCGGGCTCTATCCCCGCCAAATCGACCCGTTTAACGTGGTTTTCAAAACGGACCGAAAGACACTTTTTTTCACTTGCGTCGCGACGAACACTCAAAATATAAATGAGCGAACAAACGCTGCTGGTTGCTGTTGCTGTTGCTGCTGCTGCTGCCATTACACACCCATACCATTGCAGCCTCTCGCACGCACACACTCTCGCATTGTACATTACTGTACTCTCTCCCTGACCTCGCCACGCCCCTCCGCCCCTCGCCCAACCCGCCTACGTTGTTTTTATGCGCTCGTTGCTGTTTCTGTTTCGATGTCGGTTCTGAGAAGGTATGCGTGCGTCGCTGTCGCCGCACTGTGGGATTTTTCAGCCCATTTGTTGGCCAAAACTAACTCTCTGAATGTCGGAAAATAATGCAATTTTTGTTCCATGACACTCATATGTGTATATATGTATCAGTCTTCAGTGTAACGATTCAGAATTTTCAATAGATGGCACCATTTTGAAAATATTGGCTGACAAAGCACCTGTTTCGTTAGCAAAACATGTACAATTTAACCAAAATAAATTTAACTTCCTAAAGAGAGACTTAAAGTTGTTATTGCAGGATCCAGCCTTGTATCCAATAAACTATGTTAAAGATGTGGATAAAAAAAACATCCGCAAAACTTAAATATGTTCCTTTTGTCACCATTTCAGCTGATATAAGCTGCCAGACTATTTTTTACAAAACTGCGTAATAACCGACCAATACCCTTGGTTGCCCTTGACCGCAACAGTAAACTCTAATTCTTTAAATACTGTTTTTCTTCGTATCCCGAAAAATTAAAAAAAGAGAGTCCAAATTGTATGTATAAAAATGGATGGTTTATGATTTTTAGTTGTTTTGAAGCTGCTGCCGGTGCCTTAAATATAATTTATTTAGACTATATGTATGAACTCAAATCTAAGCACAGAACTTAAATACTTGCTACGTTTTTGAGTTACTAAGTTTGACCACGAAAAGAGGCGAAGGTCCCATGGTGCGGCTGAGTTCTGCGCCTGTGTGTGTGTAATCATGGCAGCCAGTTTTCCTCTCTTTCCGTGACCGTGTCCGTGTGGCCCCAATGCCGGCGCCTGTGTGTGTGCGTTTTTCTTTCTGCCAGTTTAGAGCGGCGAGTGGCTATATGTAGCCGGGTACATCGGATCTGCGAATAATGTCGCCTGCCGAGCTCTATTTTTCCATTTTGTACAGGGTTTGAGGTTATGTTTGATGTAATGTGTTTGATTTTGTACGGAATCGGAAGCACAAGCTAATCCCCCTTATCGGATGATCACTATTAGCTGTCAAGTGCCAGCAATGGGTACTTGTTAGTCGACTGCCTTATCCCCGCCGCCGAAAACTAGTTTCCCCTGTGGTGGTGTGCGTGAGTGGTTGGCACAAAAGATCTCGAAAACAATCGCATACATAACTTTTTCGATTCAGGGATCAAGACACCCATTTTGAAATGCGTCTTGCCCCTTGTCTGGCCCAAAACAAATAAGTAGGCAAAAGATTTGATTTTTATTCGCCGTTCCTTAGCCCTAAGGTATGCAACAAAGAAGAGCTACTGAAACATGGCGAACATGGCCGTGGAGTTTGTCCTATTAATCGTTTCCTAGATCATAGTGCAGCTCTTTCTCTATACTAGAGGACTATGTATGTATGTATGTGCTTTCGGGCAACTTGCCACATAGCTTCATTTTCATAGAAACAAAAATAAAACGCGCCCCTTGTGTGTATGCACGGAAGTGTTGTCATTCGAGGGGTGGGGTGGGGCAGAGTCGCTGCACGAGTGTGGGTGCGTTCTTTATTCTTTTATTTTTTCCGTGAGTCGGTGGTAGCAGACATTAGTATGCGTGCTTCCTCCACTTTAGTCAATGTTTGTGCAAGTTTTGGGCGTGTGTGTGTGTTTATTGTGTTGCTTTCGAGTATGGCTTGCCTCCCCCTCCTACTCCTCCTCCTCCGGCGCTCTCTATGTGTATCACTCACGCATATGTGACTTGGCCAAAAAGCGAATGCTGAATATTTCGCAAAACGACAGCTTTCTACAGCATACAACTAGGCTGCTTGCACCGTTACAAAATTGCATCGAAACACTTGCATTTTTACATGAAGACCTTCTCCTCAGTGTTGCATAGTTTTAGGCTCCGCATCTGACCGAGTGTCTTGTTATTCACTCCAATCTGCTATAGCTGTTTTGGCCAAAATGCCTTCATATTTTGACTTTTAGCCTTCGAGTAGGAAAGCCACGTTCTCGTTGCCGCTGACAACCACTCGCGTCGGCCTGGGTGCGACGTGCTGGGTGGAACATACTTTGCATAGGCCCCCGAGACCCGACATGGGTCCGCCTCGGAGGTACGAAGGGAGGCGAGAATGCAAGTGGCCGGGCACAGGCCGCACCTCGGTGTATCAAAGTTGGTCCGTCATAATGCATCATCAATTGAATCACAAACCCCGAACAATTGCACTCCATTTGATAGGATCAGAGATCCAAAATTTGGCACATGGAGCACACTTTGCATCGAAGTCTGCCAGCTGGGTGGGGCTGGGGATGGGTGGAATGTGCCTCATTTACGACAAACAGTCATCAAAGAACACACCTCTTTCGTCGTTACAAGCTCTTTGCGATTTGGCGGGCAAATGCCAATTATAAAATCAAAAGTATGTTAATGAAATTCCATAAAGAAACCCTTTAAAAGTTATTACGACTGACCCTCTTTAATGGGAAGAAAGAAGGGCGTCCTAATATACTTAACGTTAAGTAAAGATCAATGTTCTACTGAAACTGACTTTTTAATATACCTATTAGGTTAAAATTATAATAAGAGAAATAGACACTAAAATAGATACATTTATGGTTTCTCGCCCAAAATACCATCTTGCTCTGGGAGCCTATCGACCTGGCCCACAGGCTGCTAACCAGATCTTGCCTTCGTGGATTGGGGATCGTGCACAGCCTTTCGCGCCCGTTGTCGCCGTCTTCACGAATTTGGCTCAAAAGCAGTCCAGCGCGTTGGGGGGTGGCTCTGGTCTTGGACAGCTTGGCGGGGCGGAGCACTGGCGAATATTATGTAAATAAATTTGGACACTCATGAATGAGAAAGGCGAACATTGTCTGCAGCCCAAGTGGGGGATTACATGGAATGCGCAGTAATATCCAAATTAATTGGGTCTCGCAGACCGTGTTCTGCCAATCGGGTTCCCCAGTAACCCACATACCTGAACAGTCTCCGGGTCACCGATTACGAAGTACTGCGAGGGAAAGGAGAGCAATGGACTTTATGACACCGCGACCTCACAAACTGCTCCCGGTTAAATCAAAGCAATTGGTATTACCTCACACAGAGCGCAGCCATGGAGTGCTCCACCAATTTGATTTACAATTTGTTACAGTTACAGTTACAGCTGTAGTTGGAGCTGAAGGTACAGAGATGGAGTGACCCAACCCGGCAGGCGGGACGGAATGAAAGTAAGAGTTGTGTCACTTATTTGGCCAGAATTCCAGCTTTGTGGGATGGCCAAAGCAACAGACTGCCTGGCTAATGCATTAGACTCGCCGTCTTTCAATTTTGTAATCCAATGACAGCCGAGGCAGCCCTCGCATTGTATGCATTTCGAAAGCAAGCCCAATCGGAGGCAGACAAAGCCCTGCCCGGGATGACTTTCCTATTTGGCCCCCAATTAGGCTGAACTTGGGGCCGGATCACGCACTTGAACTTGCAGCCCTGGGACTGGAGCGGGCCTGGAGCGGAAGGCTACGTGCCCTTGCCTGCGGCGCGATTTCGAGGAAGTAGCTGGCAGAACCAGAAACGAAGTCTCTTCCGCATGCCGGGCCCTGGCGGAACTGGATCCTGACTGGGTGGAGGCTCCAGTCGGTAGAACGGCAGAAACAGCTAGTTTCCAGGCTGGCGGCAGCGCTACAACGGGTAAGACGGCCTTGAAGCAATACACTTTTGCTGAAATTGAAATGGCCGAGAGGTGGAGTCGAGTACTGCTACAGTTTGTCGTTCAGATCCGGTTTATTCAACCTACGGTGCTGCTATGCAGTTGTTTCTCAACTCCGAGTGGCAAAAGTGTGACAATCTTGCCAAAGCCATAGGTAACAGGGTGGCCGTACTAAAGTACAGGAAAGATTAAGAAAAGCGGCATTACTCGATCCACGTAATGCTGTAAGATAGTGTAGAAATTGGACCAGCTGCCCGGCAACAAAAACTATAATTTCCGAGACTCCACATGCAAAACGGGTTGATAATCTGTATCGGACCATAGCCTGGGACTGGCCACTAATAAGAATTTAGAACATGTGGGAAATTAACATTTTACTTCGGCCCCTTCATGAGTGATTGGCGTCAAGCCTTTGTTTCGATCAATTATTTAGATTTTTGAAAGTGCAGAACCATTTGCTTAATTTATTTGATCACCTCTGCCTCATGTTTGCCAGTCTGGCAGAAAATTAAAAGTCGATCATGTCGAAAACAAAGCTCTCACGAAACTACCATCGCTCGGCTCATGGCTGCGGAGTAAGGCGTGGCCGGGTCCGGCTAATAGTAGTTTGGCGCTTGTTCTAGACCGTTTCCACTGGCCACTCGATCTGTATTATCCATTCGCTCTGGCTGTGGCTGCAGTGCCCCCTCCGCCGACGCCGTCACGCCAAGCTGTGGAGAACGGGAAGGTCAGCGAGTTACTTTCAGCTGCCTTTGTTCCAGCACTGCACTCGCGGAGGGGCAGAGTCTGTTGCACAAATCAGAACTTTGTATTCGGCCTGCGACTTGACAATTTTAGGCATTTTTCAAGCACTCTCTAAGAGGTATCCCATAAGTTCTGGCTTGCTTTTACTTCCGTGACTCAAGAGCTTAATATGCGGCCTGTTTCGACCGTCTGTGGTTATGCCTGTTGTCTTGTAGTTGAAGTCACAAAAAACGGATTTCATTAATTTAATTTTCATTAGAAAGGCAAGCTACATGCGTGCCCAAAGCCGAGCCATTTAACCGAAAATTACTTTCAAAATGCTCGACAAAAGCCAAAGTACATGCTTGTACGATTATGTGAAGGAATTTCATGGCATTCGAGCGGATTTTCGATTTTGATTCGATTTTGCGTATCACTGGCGGGCTAACGCGGCTGCAATAAATTGGAACACAAGTAGCTCCCCAAAGGTGAATTGTATTGACAAGGGCAAGTCAATTAACGTACTCTAGCATGTGCCAAGCACCCGATTCACTGCCATCCAGTCGGCCAACCACCTGAATGGCGATCAGGTGGTAATCCGTGGAGTTTTCGGCTGCGAAGGCAAGTCAGGTTATTCTAACAAGTGATCATCAATACCTCTCTATGCCTGTGTCTCTGCAGGACCTTGTATTGTCATCCGATTTTATGAGTCGCCACAAACAGCATCGTCATGACTGTGATTTGTCACTAAAACCAAATGTCTTTCTTGGCTCGACGCATTACGCATTGCCGCTCACAAATACGGACTTTAATTAAGCTTTTACCCGACTGTTCCACAATGATTTTTTCAATTAACGGACCCATTATTACCAATTTTTCTGAAGTGCAGCACTCCCATTTATTAATAGAGCACAATGGAGCGCTCGGAGTGGGTAGGCTTAGGGGCCTAAGCTCTTTATGGCCAGAAGTAATAGGGAAGTTTTCAAGGCCGCCCAATTTAGCGGACATTTAACGGTCCGATCTGCGCACATACCGAATCAATTTGCTGGCCAAGGTGTCGGCCTGAGCCCCACACTCGCCACCCCCTGACGGATTCCACATGACACCGTCGGGCCATCAATAGAGCCCGCCATAGTTGGAAACGGAAACGGGATTATTACGCCGATACACGTTGATAAATTCGCACCGCCTATTTACAAAGTGAGTGGCGAATTGCAAAAGCAATTGGTCCAAGTCCGAGTCCGAGTCCGGCAGAAACGACTAATTGTAGGACATTTGTAAGCGCTCGTAAAGATTTCGGCCGTCCGAGTGCTGGTTCACCTTTTGTAATTAAGACATTAGCCAGCATTATCATAATTCGTTTGTGAAATTGTCCATTAAACCTAATAACTACCTGCCAAACCGCGACAACTTGGCGGGCCAGCCCAGTGACTGGTGGATGGCCTGTTGAAATGGGCACCGATCGTTATTAATATTGCGCATACGCCGCATGGGCCACGGCGGAGTGGCACCTGAAGGCCAAGCCTCGTGTGTTCTCGATCATTAATCAGTAGAGTCAAACATCCTAATAACTGAGGGCCTGTAACCAAATCTTTCAATTAGTATGGTCTTCCAGAAAGAACACGCTGTCTCTGATCATGAAGGCCCTTCCCTGACCTCATGGCGGCTCAACTGTGAAAATTATACAACTTCCGAAACAAAGCAAAAATACGAATATGAGATATACAAGAAGCCCCCGCCCTCTGCTGCCAGCAGGCAGAATAAATCGTGTGAAACACAATCCAGCAATAAATAAATTAAATCAGAATTATATAAATGCTGGCCTGCGCAGCTCGGCCGTTCACCAATGGAGCGCCTTTTACCAACTTGGCTCTGGCTCTGGTTTTGGCTCTGACTTGGCGGCTCTGCTTGGCTGCTTTGACCCAGTTCTTGGCCAGTCCGTTGCCATGCTTCCACCGTCAGCGGTTTCACTTTCAATTCTCCGGCTCGAAATCGCCTGCATTGGCCACAAAAGCTGGCGTTAAGCTATGTGGTCTAGAGCCAATCGAATCCGCCAAGGGCACCCGAGCCTGGGCTGGAAACGATTGGCCCAAGCCTGGCCCAAGTCCAGCTCCCTTTGCTGAGATGGGCCGGGCTGGTCCCCTCGGAAGCTGAAACTGGCTAAAAAGTTTGCCCATTTAGGTGTCTGAATTGTAACAATATTTCACAACTCCCATAGAAAATGCTGGCAAATAGTTGCTCTGGATGTGGCTTCAGAGGGAGTAGGGGGCCTAGACCAGGTCCAGGTTACTACACTTTAAAAAATGTCTTACGAGATCGCGAATATAAGTAAGAGGGAAGCTTAAGGATGGATCTAATCTAAATAGGGTCTGCTAAGTTAGAACTTCAATCACTCTAGTTCGGATTAATTAGACTTTTCTTTGTGTGTGGTGCAGGTTTCTGGTGGAACTCAAGAAATCAACCAAGAAATCGCCTTGTTGAGCCCCGGTATCTGGTTTGCTATGGGTGTCTGGCCACCGTGGGCCGCCACTATTCCAGCCAGGTGCTCGAATTCAGCCAGAGAGCGCAGCAAGCGGTGCAAGATAATTAGACAAGCCACTGGGTGTTCAGAACGATCTGCGGAATGGAGCTCCGCCAGCAATGGCACAAGCCACACTCTTACTTTCAAAAGCTTAAGAGCTCGGCCAAGAGTCTCTGCGAGCCGAGTTAACAGAGCCAGGTTAACAGCAGCTTGGCTGAAGCCCAACTTGGCCAGATTGCTGGCTTGCCGAGTGCCTCGAGACACTTGCTCGGCACAGTCGCGTTGTGCAGTTGATTCGAATAGGACGTGTGGCACGCTCAAGCGCACGGTAAGACGACGACGAGGCGCCTCCGCTCCGAGGGTAACATTTCGGAGTTTTCAAAGTCGAACCCCAGCCGGATTAGACCTCCGCGAGAACGGCCCCGACCATATCCGATTTCCGATTCATTCAAAATTTGGCTCGAAATTCAAATTCAGATCAAAATTCAGCTGCGAATATTGCACTCGGCCAAGAAAACGTGCATAGAAAGCAGGCTCAACTGCATTTTGTGGTTCGTTCGTGTGTGTCGGCCGACTCGCTTTGCGTCGAAAAGAAAGTTTTCGCTAAATATACTACAAACAACAAACAAAATAAAAGAAAAGAAAACAAAACAGCCCGCAGTTTGTTTTATTTTGCTTTGCAATTTCTTCGCCCGCCGCCCAGACACAGTTTTCCGAAATGGTAGTGCCCGCGAATGCCGAGTGGGAAATCTAAATCAGCCGTTTATCTGCGAGATACTCTCGCATCTTTACCTTTCCTTGGCAACAGCCAGCGGTCATTGCAGTTCAGGCTAAAAAAACTAAAAACTGAGAAACTGAAAAACTGAAAAAAGCAAATCAAAAAACCGAAAAGTCCAAGATAAAAACAAAAGTGTTGTAATCTGTGAACGTGAACGTGTGTGTGAACTAAAAGCCACAAACGAAAGCTCAAATAATAGGGGCAAGACTGAGCTGCGACTGCAACTGCAACGGCTACGGCAACGGCATCAACTTGCAACAATACAAACACGTCCAAACAAACTGCAAGCCCACAGCCAAGAAAATTGTAACACAAGGCTCGCTCGAACCAAAAACAAAAAGAAAAAATCTAAATTGAAAGATTGCGACACAGCCTTCTTAGTTATTTAGCAATTGTATGCACCGCACCGGGCAACTGCGGAGCTTTTCTCAGCGGCAACTGTTGTTGCCACGGCGCTCTACTGGTGGCGGATCTACTGGCACTGACGGAGGCAGTGCTGCCCCCGATCCGGTGGTATTTTAAATTCTGTGAACCAACCTCAAAAAACGCAACTGCACCAACCACATCAAGAAAATTTACAGTTACAGTTACGACGACGCGCAATACCTGCAACATGGGGCACTCAACAGGTCGGCTAAGCATTCTGTGGCTGCTGGGATTATGTCTGTTGCTATTCAAAGCAGGTGAGTTTGAGTCTAAGTCGTTGTCTAAGTCATTGGGGAGAACTCTGGGAAAGGGTCAAAAAGAGCTGATTCATCTGGGAAGGCAGGAAGGGTTCTGCCTCTAAAGAGGGGGACCTCCCAGGAGGAGGAGGAAAAAGCACTCCAAATGGAAACTATGTATTTCCCGCTAGCATCCCAGCCACCTGGAAATGGCCAAGTCAACGAACTCTGCCTCGTCTAATGTCTAATTGCTTAAAAATTTATATCTTAGCCTGGTATTTGCTCACAGGCCTGCTCACAGATCAGCTGGAAAAAGCCTTAAAAGTGAAAAGTGGCTCTATTACCTCACTCTGGGCCTTTCGCTCGAAAGTAAGAGTCGGGGAGAACAGACTCCAAAGAGGCTTGGGTTTCTCTGTATCCCAAATAATGGCCATTCCGGCTGGCAGATGAGCCTCGGCTTCAAACTTATTCGGTACTTTGTTATGGAAATAGCTTGTTCCGCACAAGAATTGAGAAGCCAAACTTGTTTCTGGCTGACAAGTCGCGCTAACAAAAAATCTGATGTCAATTTTTATAATCTTGGAAGAAGTCTGGCCACAAATAACTGGCACGAGACACTGCTAGTCTTTGTGATTTGGGTATTTTTAGACATTCCTGATCGGAGGAATGGGCTGCATTAGGAGGGTATGCCTGGCTAATTATGAGGCAGTGGAGAATCCGATCACCTGCTCTATTTACGATGCGAAACAATAACATAATCGAGCAGTTGGAGCATAACAAGCGTAACAAGCATGGCCAATATAACAAATGTAACAACAAACGATGTCAGGTCAGTCGGCCCGGATTGGCTGTCCACTCGACTGCTCGAACTGCTGGGTAATGGTAATGGTAATGGAGTTATGTAAGTTATGCCAATCAGCCAGCAGCCCCAGTCCCAGCCAGCAGCTAGCTGCTAGCAGCCAAGCAGCTTATGGCACCGATATTAATTGCAGACAACAGACAACAGACTGTCGAGCTGAATGGCTCGAATATTGGTTGAATAATTTTTCGGGCAAGTGAGTGTGTCGGTGTAACCGAGCAAATTGCGGTTATAATAACTGTTAATAATCCGCAAACAGTTTGCTTAATTGTTTGTCTATATTTAAATAAGCAAGCCAGTGCCAAAAAATAGGGGGTAATCAGTTACGAACTTGATATCGGTTGGGATGGAGTAGGGCAGCCTGCCCTGGGCAGGTTGACTGGCACTACCCAGAACCCCCGGCAGTCTGTCCGGATTCCATTGAAAGTGAAAGGGAAAGCCACCCACCCCCTTAAATAGAAAAGCCAACAAGTAACGACCCTCCGTGCGCATACTTAATATTTAGTACATGAACTTGGCCAGTTCCAAGTCTGGACTGTTGCCTAATTCGCTTTCACTTTCAGGTCTGCTTTTCAGGTGGCTGAATAATTCGCTAATAACTCGTGTGTTAATTGCTTTATCTGAAGCGATTAGCTCTATCACTCGTACTATTACCTTTCGACGCTTTAATGACAGATCGGGTCCACCGTCCACGGTAATATTTACATTTCCACTGTGAAAGCGAGAGACCTCCTAATTGATTGTTTCCCCAACGAGACGTAACATCCCAATGAAATAGTTGTCGTCACGGCTCCCCCCCTGACCAGAGCCGGAGCGTGTGAATTAAATGAACTACGGATCAAGTGGCTGGGTATGCGGAGAGGCAATTGCCCCAGAAACTTATCACCGGAGTCGTGATACGGCAAGAAAGTGAAATAAACGGACAGACACGGGCCTTGTCAGTGCCACTGATGACACAATAAAACAGAAACAAATGCGTGTACAACAAAGCATTATAAAATAAATAAAATGCAAAAGAAAGCCATCAAAAACAGACGGCTGACGGACTGCTGGAAAGGTAACAGCGACAATACTTTCCATTTCGTTGAACTATAACAAAATTTGGATGTCATTTCTCTAATTTAAAAGCTGAAGAAAGGTCGCCACCACGCCAGGCTGGGTAGACCATTGTGGTGTTTCACCGCAAAATGCATGTTTTCATGTGTTATGGCTGGAAACTTTACGGCGAAAATGTGAAAACATTAAGACTTGGCCTGTTGTTGTTGATGGAAGGGCCTCTAACAGGGGAAATGGAGGTGGGGTAACGCCCTTAGGCCGCTAAGAAAGTGCTATAATAAGCTAGGCCCTAGCCAGTATGAAGTGGTCTATAGATCAGGAATAGAAGGCTTCTGTTCTAGCCCACTTATGATGTCCCATTCTCGAGTCCCAATTTCAATAAACAATGCCTACGCCCCGATCTCCACCGTATTTGGAATCATAAGTGTCATTGCCAATTCAGCCATTACCCACAGGCCGACCACGCCTTCCTCTTCGCCCCATCTGGGCCCCAGTCTCCCCTGAGACTCCTCCGCCCTCGGGCTCCGGCGATTGCTGGTATTACCGCAGGCGGTGTCAATGCTTGCCGTGCGAAAGTGTCGGCGCACGCGGAAGATCGTCATTAAATTACCCGGCTGGGGCTGCGAGGTAATCTGAACGCTTTACACGAGCGTGTTCGAGCTTCGGCATGTTGCAACTTTGGCAGCAACCAGGTCTGCTTTGCATGCAGTTGCCACCACCGTGGTGCACTTTCGCTTTTGCAGGCAGCAGTACTCTGGCTGAGGCAAGCTCAAGTAATTTGCACACCGCCGCGGTAATCCCTCGGTTTCGAAAGGCTCCAGTTAATTTGCGTTAAACTGGGAGCTGAAATATGCTGTCAGTGGGCTCCAATAGACTGACGGACCACCAAAGAGCAAACAGCTCAGGTTCCCCCGTGTTTAACGATCGCCCTGCAAAGCGCCGAGCTAGCACTTAATGGTGCTACTCACCTTGAAATGCACATGTTACCAGATTATTGTGGCTGCAAATTATTTTCGCTGCGCAATGAGCAATCTATTAAGCCATTGCCTCAGCCCGACAACATCCATAACCGATGTGAATAGAGCCCCCTCTCATACCCGACCCGCATGGTAGTGGAATTTCTCGGCCGCTGCTCCACTTAACACTCTCACACCTGCCTCAGCTCTAGCTCTAGCTCCAGCTCCAGCTAGAGCTCCAGCCAGTGCCCCTGCCCCTGCCACGGCCGGATAGCTCTCCATCTTTCACCGCAACAATGCTAAGCCGAGTGTGTGTGGATTGCGTAAAGACTTTTCATTTTATGATTATTTTATGCGTATTTCACATTTACGGCAGGTTGCATTCAGCGGAGCGGCACCTGCGTCTCAAAGTAATTGATTAGACAGGCTGTGGATCATCACCGGACATTCTATGCGGTCTTTCTGCTCCACATACTGTGCGGCAAGAGAGCTCCGATTACCCAACAAAGGCTCGGGTGCCAGTGCCAGTGTGATGTAAACTGAACTAGCCTACAACCAGCTGACATTTGCCAACGGCCATCATCTCCTAATTTGAAGGTATCTGACAATGTGCTGGGTTTTTTGCCCTCCCCCGAGTCTGAATTCATAATTGAATTCGTCGAATCAGCGACTCGGGAGGCGAAAAGGTGTCAAAGCAATGGATCGTCTGCCGCGGACAGACGCCGGTGTGTCTGACTGGTTCACCTGCTTGTTCAGCCACGATCTCAGAGTGTCTGTAAAATGCATAATGCGGCTGTGGTGACATGGATTCGGTCTCGAAAACACGTATTCGTGATTGATGTGGCTGGCTTGGGCTATATGTTTTCAAACAAACTAATATATTCCTCGGATTCCACTCGTACGCCGCATTATACCATGGATATGTTGTCATTGGAGACTGACGGATCTTGGAGGCTCGGAACGGAGCTTGTTCTTCTTGGGGTTAAAGGAGCTCAAGGTTGTGGGGCTTTTAAGCCGTTTAGAAAGGCCAGCTCGTAATAATTTCATCGTTTCGTAACTGGAAGTGGGACTCATAATTTGGGGAAAAAAAACACGATGCATGGGCCATAAATTGCTATGTTGGAAGAGTCTTATTAATGGAACTTCGGCGGCCGGAGCCAGAATGAAAGTAAGATCAGAGTCCCCTCGCCACAGCTTGCCCTCCGGCTGCTTTGTTGTCTCCTTTGTGGGCAGGTAACTGAATAAACTGGATTTGGCAGATGCCTGATACAACGACCTTGGGGCCGAGAGTGCAGCTTGCAGTCAAGGCTCAAGGTTCCAGAGGGCAGGAATGCGGCTAGCCGCAGCTGGCCTTCCTGGTCGCTCTCCTCCGCAGACGTTAATTTCTCAAACATCTTGACAGCCTCGCACCGCTCACCTTTCACTTTCACCTGGCTGCGGTGCGTCGGGTATTAGTGAGCCTGCTTAAATGAACGATGACGGCCCACAGTGACAATATGTGGCCAGTGCGGACAGCCGGACAGCCGGACGGACAGGCGGACAGCGTGAATGTGCGAGAGCTTATCGATTAGTGGTTGCGTAAGCGGCGCACTCATCTGCGTCGTTAGGAGCTTCATTAAGTGCTCCGGTGTCAAAAGTAATGGGTTGTTGGTACAGGACAGCTGGGCCGATTACGCGGCTTTCGACATCCAGAGCTGCACGCTGCCCGCTGCTCTGCTCCATTAATCATTGGCCAAGATCTAATGTTGCAAGCCGTTGCAAGTGCGTGGAGTGCATTTGAATCCGTCCAGGCCCCCTGAAAGACAAGTGCGAGCAAACAACTCGCTTTCAACAGCCTGGCGACGTGGATGCAGTTTCGCCAAGTATCGCTATTCCTGTTACTGCCACCGTTTAAGCCAATTTCTCCGACGCTTTCATGGCATCCCGATATCGGTTTCGATGTTTTCAATGTCACCCAGGCCGCCCAACAGGTTCCACCTCGGTTTAATGACATTTCTCCAAACGGGTGTGCTTCTTGGCTCCGCGAGTGCGTTATTGAATCATCCCAGTGGCGGCGGCTAGTCCAGGCTATTGACTGCAAAGCTCGAAAAAGTGGCAAAAAGCTGCGGTCCGATCGGGAAGGAGTCGTCTCGAGACTACCCGATCGAGTC